GATAAGTGGGATATGGGGGCGCTGGGGAAGTGGTGGGCTGGTGCACCGCGGGGGAGGGCGGGGTATGGGACGGTGGGGCTGGAGAGGTTGGAGCGCGTTGAGGGGGATCTGGGGGTGCGGGCCGTGGATTGGGAGGGCTTTTTGGGGAGGAGGGGCTGGATGCGTAAGAGTGCGGGCGCGGGTAAAGGGACGCGGCGTGTTAGAGGGGGTGGATGTGGCAGTGGTAGTAGTGGTAGTAGTAGTAGTGGTATTAGTACGCAGAGCAATTCTACTGCAGCTAGATCATAGGCTATGCTAATAAAATAAACTAAATTCTGTTCTTTGAGTGAAGAATTATGTCAAGTAACTACGACTCATATTGTTATACACCTAGGTAGGTATCTCTAGCTGCCTTTTAATATACCATCAAAACCTAACCTGGCATTCAAGTCTACGTACCTTATTGTAAAAGTAGAAGTCTTATATTGTGTCTGACAAGGTGCACGCACAAGCTGAAAAAACCTCTGTTTCGTACCTGCTAAGCCTGATCCAATGCGAGACTTGACGCAAGGGAAGCTCAGATGGGGTATCTTCAAGTTGAACATAATTGCAACTATCAGCGCAACATTATCTATCAATTGTAAATATCAACGCTGATAAATGGGGGAATCACTACGGATATGAAGCAGTCTGCATGCTTCTTCCTTAACTGAGATAGATGTGACCGGTGTAATGAAACCATGGTGCCTATAATACAGGGTCTCTTGAAACTAATATCGGTCTAGTGGACGATTGATTAATTTTACTTGACGGTGATTTCGGAAAGAAAGGGGGGTGTGACACGTGACACGTTAACAGATCACAGCCTTCACCAGCCAGCCAAAAACCCCTAGGTATGTCATCTGCTTTGATACGGTAGCTAAGAGATATCGTGCTAAGAAAAAAAAGTCGGAAAACATTATTGTCATGCTCTGGCAGGAAACAAGAACCCTAATACACTTTCTACCTACCTAGACTCTTAGAACTAATAACTCATAGTTCGATAGAGCGGTTTCACACGAGTAGACGAAACAGGCTGCTGTTTCTTCTGGATGAAGTATTGCAAGGTATAGGGTACTGGCAAGGTAGGTAGTTACCGTACGAATATAGGGCATTGTAATATAACGTCACGTTAATAAACATGTGAACGCTGCATGAGATGAACCAATAGCATTTGACCATCTGACGTGAACTGCGCTCGAATATCGTAGTTGTCTATCGTTGTCTAATAGATACTGTACCGTAATCTGACTTTCCTATTTTTAGTGAAGCGGCGTAGGTAATCCTGGAATTACCCGATTCGGACATTGGTTTAACCCTTTTCGGTCGCCGTCGGATTTTGTGTTACTCACTACCGTACCTCAACAGCTAAGGCATTTCTATATAATACAAGTATTCAAAGAACTTTGTAATAAATAAATAAACGCCTCACTGATAGATAAACGATCCAAAGCCAAAAGTTTTATACAATGTGTCCAACTCAAAGCACAATCTTTTTAACCGCAGAAGAGACGGAGCGTATACGAAATACGTTTAAAAGTCGACTGCAAAGATGTAAAGATCTTGCAGGCCAGCCACGAGTTTCTGGAGATTCAAAGGCGAGTATGAGTCAAGTGGCAGCCGTGTCCTTCATGGCAGATATCACCACCACGCAGAGACAGGACAACATTGTAGCTTTTGCCGTCGGGTCTCCGTATCCTCCATGCACGCTCTTGCTCCGTGACTTGCAGCCTATACAGTTATGCGATCTTCGAATGGATACCCATCATCGCAGTCGCGTTCTCTCTGTTCGTCGAGTAGCTCCTGTGGTTAAAGTCGTGGCATTTTCATGGACTGTTGTGCAGGATCCTTTTGGGGAAACGGAACGCTTGGAGATCTCGCTGCATAAGTTGAGATATGGGGATGATGTCTTGGAGTCGGGGTCTGTTTTTGAGATCAAAGAGCCTTACTTTACCCTCAGCGATGAGGGGCATCCTACACTTCGAGTTGATCATCCGTCGGACATCATGCAGTCGTCTTCTGCCTTTGTAACACCCCAGGATATTGAAGCGTCCACAACCAAAACAGCCCAGATGTACAAGGAGGAAGGAAACGCAGCTCTCAAGAATCAAGAGCTTCCACGTGCCCATGCAAACTATACCCAAGGTCTGCATCTCGTTACAACAGATGGTAGTGCACAGGAAGACTTCGCATACGATCTTTTCCGGAACCGCGCCCATGTAAATCTCGCCCTGCATCGTTTCGACGCGGCAAAGACAGACGCACTTGCGTCTCTCACCGGCCGCGAAGACAAGAAAGCTCTCGATAGCAAAGCTTATTTCCGGGCCGGATGCGCAGCACATGGAATGGGCGAATTCCATGAAGCAAGACGCTATTTCCAGGAACAGCAACGGCTTGCTCCTTATGACAAGCTCGCCGCAGCTAGTGTGAAGGAAATGGAATCGCGTCTCCGCGAACAAGCGACTGGTGCATACAGCTTCAAGAAGATCAAGGCCAGCCTCCTAAATGGTCGTCCACGTGTTGCCGCAGCAGACTTTACCAGTAATGTCGGGATTGGAGAGAGCTGTAGAGGGCGTGGCTTGTTCGCGAAGCAGCGCATGGATCCGGGTGAAATTATCATGGTTGAGAAGGCATTTTGCGTGGTGTTGGGAAACGAAGAAAAGGCTTTAACAGCTATGACATACGATGTTCGCGACGACAGAATCAGGGTCACCCCCGCCGGTCTATGCAGAGCCATTGCGCAAAAGCTTCAGGACAACCCGTCGCTGGTTGAAAAAGTCACGGACCTCTATAGCGACTATCCAGGATTGGGCAAGCAGCTCATCATCAGAGACGCCCGCCCAGTTATCGATATCTTCCAAATCCACGACATTGTGGCCCGGAACGCTTTTGCCATTGGACCCGCGTACCCTGACGATCATCGTGGCAAACATGCGGAGAATAATAATATGCATGAGAGTACGGGACTTTGGATCACGGCTTCGTACCTGAATCACTCGTGTGTCCCGAATGGGAAAAGAGAGATGTTGGGCGATCTCATGGTACTGCGAGCTACGCAGCCAATCAACGCACGTGAGGAAATCACGCATAGCTATGACGGGTCCAGTGATATCGAAGCAAGGTCTGCAGCATTGCTGAAAACCTGGGGGTTTGCATGTAGCTGCGCGCTCTGCGTTGTGGAAAGAGCAGAGACGCCGGCTGTGCGAAAGAAACGACAGCAGCTGGAAAATGAAGCCAGTGCTTTTATAGAGAGAAATGATGTGATTGGGGCCAAGAGGATTTCTATTGTGAAAGCGAGGCGTCTTGCTCGAGCTATCGATGATACTTATAATGAGGGATATAAGGGCCTGCCTCGTTCGGCTTGTCAAGGTATTCAGGATTGGCTCGCGGAAGCTACGATTAGGTAATATCTTGTATAAAACTGCTCTGAAGCGATACTGGACTGAAATTTCCAAGTCCATTGTACTATATCGTGTCACGTGCCCACCCCCCCTTTTCTCTGAAATCCTGATCAAGTAATACGATCAATCGTCTGCTGGTCTCAAAGCTAGCTTTTTGTAAAGTAAAGCGGATGGTAATAAAGGTGAGTTTATCTTTGCTGCAACAATTGTTCTTCTTAATACTTATCCGTGAGTACAAATGTAGTAATGTAGTGGAGCTAAACCCAAAAGTAAAGGAAGCCAAGGGCTAGAGAGTTTGGTAGAAGTGACACTTCAGGAGATAAGTCGATTGATACCGAATAAAAAAAGCTCAGAAACTTAATATGATCTGACAGGATAATGCCTCGTCATCCGAGAATGAAAAGCAGACCGTCGAAAGCACCAAAGTTGCCGAGAAACTTTGTCTGGTCGTATCTTCGCGGTTAGAAGAAGCGTTTGAAGCAGCATTCATATGCTGCCCCATTTATCAGCTCATGAGATAGTTGCTGGGTAAGTGTATGGACTTCTACCGGACTTGTAGCATTTTAAGGTTCATTCATATGGCCACAGTTTTTGATCTGGTGTGGTGCCACAAAGCAGTAATAACAATGTAGAACTTGTAAGGAGACCTGCAACCCGTACTAGATAATGATAAAGATGCGGCAATACTGACACCATTCGTATTTCTTGTTTACTACGATTATATTGGCTCAATTGCGGAGTAGTGAAGAAGTACAAATACTGTACCAGTAACCTCAAAGCATTTGGCGGGGAACGAGGGGTGGCGCTGTGGCTGGTGCATTCGCTTCCTAGCCAGGGGTAAAAACGTTAAAAAAGCACCCATAAACTGAATTCACGCACTCGTGACTTCTACGACACATATATTAGACGCGCGTTGTCATCGTATTCACACAACTATTGCCGAGAACAAATAGAGATGCCAAGCCATCCCACAAAGCAAACAGTCGTGTTTCGCGTTTCACATAGCGATTCGCATGATCGGCGGCTACGCTCAGCCACCCGCATCCCTGTCAGCCCCCCCTTTTATATTTAGACATGTAGCCCTGCCATTCCATTCCATTTCAACGTCATCTGGATCTCGGATTACATTCTTTGCTGCGAACTTTGTCGGTACCGTGCTTCATTTCTTCTTTCATTCAGCCGTTTTTGTTTGTTTTTAGTACGATACCCATTCTATTCTTGCGACGATGTTCAATGATAGTATTTGCACTAACGCTCCTGCGTCCACTGCGACGGATGCGGGAATTGCTGGCGCTGGCGTAAGTCTCCCTTCTTAATTGTATGCGTTTAAACTTCCGAGAACTTGATAGCTAATCTTGTCTTATTGGGAATTTAGGTCCTACTTTCCTTTATCATCACGGCTTTCGTATCCTTGCTTCTATCCGCTATCATAATCCTGCACGAAGCGCGGCGGAAATCCGAGGCCAAGATACTAAGGAAATTGTTGTTGAGTTTTAGTGATCAACAGGTCTTGACGGGCATTGGGATCCAGAGGTATGACATGTATCTTCAGGGGGTGTAATATGAAGAAGAGGTATTTGTATCTTGGAAAAGCAGTTTGCTGACTTAAATTGAATATAGTATCGCACTGGCCAAAATGGGAACGATGGTTCCATACCACTTCTTCCTGGTATGGATGCTTAGTCTCCTGAGTACGGCAACACATGTTGGAACCCTGCTAGCTCTCGTCGCTGATTTCAAGAGGGATTGGGTCGTAAGCCAGCCCTGATATATGCGGATGTTATTTCAAGGTTACAATGGCTTACAATTTCACATAGCTCCGCTGGCTCCGCCAATTCTTCATGTTCGTGAACCTCTGCCTCTCGCTCGTCTCGGGCGTTTTCGTCCTCCTATCAGTAAGGAAAAATATGGCCGAATTTCCCCGTTGGACCCTACCAATTGCCTGCGTCTGGCCACTCTCTACAACCACCGCGCCGTCCAACGCCCCAATATCAATCGCTGGCACCATTGCTGTCATGACTGGGCAGGTGATTTTTTTTGTGGTTGGGGTGTGGTATTTACATGTCAAGGAACGGAAATGGGTTAAAGTTATACAAATGTTGGGTTTGGTGGTTTTGGTGGGGATAGGTGCTGGTGCTGCTGTCAGGGTCATTTTGCTCAGTCAGGCGTTTGGACATCCGAATGTGCCGTTAAAGGATTCAGGGGAGAGGGATTGGAGTTTTGGACAATTGCTACCATTATTGCTTTTACTCTTACCCTTGGTCAGTTCGGTGGAGATTCTCAGAGGTGAGTTATACTATACATATTGAGGGGATTGAAACCAAGTATGCTAATACCTTCTTTTAGGAGAGATGAAGATCCCGTCACCGATGGTGGATGATTGTATTCCACTGGTTGATCAGAACGACAAACAAGGCGTGAGAACCTCGTTCCAGCCTAATCCGTTTTGGGGTTCGCAAGTTAGTCGTTTTAGCAAGTACTAAGTAATACCTGGCCAATATAAACATGGTTTCAGCAATTTCATTACTCACGTTATATGGATAGGTGACGTTTATTACAGCTTTAGGTCAAGATCAGGTGTTCGAAAGATTGGTGTTTCGCGGGGTTCAAAAAGTGGCACTTGCCATCAAATGTGTTCTCGGCCTGGCACGCTGAAAGTCGGCTTCGCTTCTTCTGGTCAGGAGGAACGCTTGTGCCAAAACTGCAAAGGGGAGAAAAGTTTGCTGGATCGACTTAATCAGGACTATTGCTAATGTCTATTGAATAATCATTTGAGTGGATTTTCTATGCTTCTATTGTACAAATGTGGCCAGCCTTGCCTTTTTTCCTTTGGCCCTAGTTGGGTTCATCCGGCCTCACAGTGAATAGCGTACTGTGGAATTTAAAAAAGCGGCCCTGCTGATTACAGATTTCAATATGCTACTCAGCTTGGAATCTTCAAACGAGTGCCGAATGGTCTAGCACGAGCCCGATGTCTAGGTATGGTAGAAGGCAACTCAAGGGGCTAGCCCCTTGGATTCTACATTCTTACCCACTTGCGCATCCTCCGCATTCTTAGGCGTAGAATCTTCCTTGTTCTTCTTGACGCTACGCCACTCCATACCAGCAGCACCAAAGATGGAGAGACAAGCCAAAATAAGGGCAACTTGGAAGCAGACACGCAGGGAGTCATTGTAGGCCTCCAGGGCTGCGGTATGATTCTCAGGCGAGATGATATCGAAAAGCCCTGTGACTCCAGCGGTCTGAAGTTGTTTGGGTGTGATGCTAGAGATACCAGCGAGTCGTTTAGCCAGCTGATTGTCTAGGACGTTCTGTCCGACCGAAACGAAGATGGCACCGAAGAGCGTCTGGGCGAAAAGAATAACTGAAATACCGGTAGACACTTCGTTACGTGGTAAAACTGTCTGGGCAGCCATATTGGGAGCCTGGCTAGACGAACCCACCCCGTAGCCGTACAGGATCTGGTAACCGACCCATTGGCCCACCGCCGTGTGGATGCCAAGTGTGGTGAGCAGACCTGCACCAACTGATGTGATACAGATGCCGAAGATCAAGAAGGGCACGTAATAACCAATGCGGGAGGTTAGTATGCCGGTGAGAATGGACGCAAAGACGAGGGCGAGCACCATGGGTAGAATATGGATGCCGCTTTGCACGGCGGAGTTGCCATCGATGGCTTGGAACCATACGGGAAGGTAGTAAACTAGTATGATGGCATCAGTACGCCATTCTTCATCCAAAAGGGAACAGTTGGGGCTTACTAAAGAGCGTCTGATGCGCCCCAGCACAACAGCTCACCCAGAAGCCACTAGCAATGCTGCGCTGCATGAAAATACGCGGCGGCACAGTTGCTTGATCCGGCTTCCAGCACTGGATCAAGACGAAGGCAATCAGAAGTACAAAAGAGAGCACAAGTAATGCGATGATGCGTCCATTTCTCCACTGATTGCAGTTAATTTCACTGATTTGAGATAGGAAGGAGACTGGGGGAGGAACTATAGAATGGAAACTTACTGTATACATGGTGCCACCCCATTGTAAGGCTAGGCAGAGACAGACGACTCCGGGTACAAGGGCAAGCAAGCCCAGAGCGTTCAGTTGCCGTAGCTTGTCTTTGAAAGGAATCTTGGTTTCTGGGCGGTCGGGGATGTGTAGGAGGAAGAAGACGAACACTATAACCACGCCTCCTAGGGGAAGATTGATGTAGAAGCACCATCTCCAAGTCACGCTTGTAGTGAAAGCACCACCTACCAGCGGTCCGAGCACTGAAGCAATTCCAAATATGGCCCCAAAGAACCCTTGGTACTGAGGCCGCTTATGGAGCGGAACAGCGAAGACAATAATGACGATCTAGTGCAGGATAGTGTTAGCAAATGAATGAAGAAGACGAAGCAGTGTGAAGGAGGTGTCGAGAGATGATCCATAGCAAAAAGAAGGGAAAACGTACAATGCCAGACTGAACACCTCCAGCTCCCAGACCGGCAATGGCCCTACCGATAATGAAAGCGATTGAGTTCGGTGCCGCACCGCAGATAGCTGAGCCCACTTCAAAGAGTACGACAGCTGTCAGAAAGGTGGCTTTGATGTTGAAGATGGTATATATTTTTCCAAACACTAGCAGACACGCGCAGTTGGCGAGCAGATAAGCCGTCCCATACCAGCCTATATCATTCGCTGCGTGGAATTCGTTGGTGATCTGGGGTATGGCGGTTGAGATGATGAGTTTATCCTACCACCGAAGCGGGTCAGCTTGAATGTACGGTAGGTAGACATGATAATAGCTTATGTTTGCTATTTGAACTTACCAAGGACACGAGAAACATGCCAACGAAGATGGAGATCATCAATAGTGCGAGCTTAAGACCAGAGGGGTAGACATGGTCGCTTTGGATAGGCTTGAGGTCCTGCTCCTTGGCCTTTGTATCGCTGGTTATGAGGGGAGGTGGAGGATTTCTGTCTTCCTGTGGAACGCTTTCTTTCTTTTCTAACGACATGGAGAGGAATGAGCGTAGTGGTGATGGTTTAATGCAGAGTTAGAAATTGGCGACACTTAAGGAGAGTTGATGTACGAGGGTAATTAATGAGAAATCCTGATACTTCTGATAATCACCTGTCGGGTAAGAACATGTCGCCTTTAATAAGCATTGAGAAGATTATATTCCGTGGCTTATATGTGGTTGAGATTCGCATATAGAGAAGGGGCATGGTGTACGAAAGGGGCTAGACTCGGATGGTCGGGACACACTATCCCCAACTTGTAAATGACCAAACTCGGATATAACAGCACATTGTGATCCGAAAACAAGTAAATGACCACTGCTTCTTAACGGCCATTTTAGGTAGAGTATGAGATGAGCAGAAACGAATGATAAGCATGGCGGAGCTAGATTTGCCAATACGCCGCATGCATGTCAACGCTTTGCTGACCTACCTGAGGTATTCATAACTATCCGCGTAGCAACCTCGTAAGAAGACGGATCAAGTGATAACCAGTGAACAATTGGTGTTAGGGTATGATTGAACTATCTGGGATGTAGTGAAGTATTGGTAATGTAAATAGGGCCATAGAAAGAGCCCAAGTTTGTATAATATTATTTACGGCTGACTAATTGTTTACTTCCTATAGTCACGTGGTAAGCATTGCTGCATTTCATTACTAAGTAGAAACTAAAAGTGCTAGAGAACGCCCCGTACTAGTGTAATCCATAATCATCGTCCCATACATCTACTATAGGCCTAAACCTGAGGTCAGCACAGACGTTATGCACGTGTAATTTGCAACTTTGACCAGGCCCGACTTTTGTCTCTTTTTTTCACTCCTGATTCTCAATCTTCAACCTGAGGGTTTCAGTCATAAACTATGTATCCGTTCAAAACTAGAAATACTCTGTTTGCATTAAGTGCAAAGCTGTTCTGGACCTTGACTATCTGTATCAACCACTAGCTGCACGTATGACTCCGCATCACAAGCTTCTTCTGTAGGCGCTTTCACCTATATCTACGCATATTACTGACTTTTCCCTAGCTACCCCACTAAATCAGTGTAGTCTAGGGTTTGAAATGAGATAAAAGATAAAAGATAAAGTAGTTAATTATTCCGAATCAATAACAGACCTTCCTTAATGACATCCGAATACCACGTGACCGGACTAAGTTGATGATTAATTTGTTAGTCACAATAGAGATATACATGCTCTTTCGTGCTTCTAACGCTCCCAACCAATTGTCTGCGCTTCCGTATGTAACAATTCCAGAACCTACAATCCATCCATTACATCTCTCAGATGTTTTCGATATTTGACACCAGTCCAGCTGTTCTAGGCCCAGGGCCCACCGAAGGCGCATCTCAAGCTCAAACCCCACCAGTCAAGCCAAGTCGTCGCAGAGACAAGGCGCAGTTATCCTGCACGATCTGCAGACAGAAAAAGTAATAATGGACTCTTGAAACAGACTCAACTTATACTTACATCTGCATAGATTGAAATGCGATCGCGTGAAACCATGTCTCAACTGCACTAAGCGTGGACAGCCCGAACTGTGTGACTTCATTAAGCACGAGTCCTCGCATAGTCATCCTACGAGGCAACAAGGTACAACAAACTTCCAATTGCAAAACCGAGTTCGGCAGTTAGAGGATATGGTAACGACTTTGTTAAACAGCCAGAATGCCCCCAACCTAGACCATAATGTACTCGCTGCAGCGAAACCACCGTCCGTTACTAGTACGGCAAATGGGATCACGGATGGCGGCTTCACTCAATCTGCAGCGCCGTCACCTGCTGACCAGATAAATGCTAACTTTCCAGAAGCTTTGGCAGGGAGATTTACCAGAGCAAGAGATCAAGTAAATTTTGTGGGTAGCGAACATTGGGAAGCAATACTCGACGACATTGCAGACTTGAAAATTGACTTGGAGGATCCTGCTGCCGCATCTGAAATGCCGGATTCCAGACCACAGATTCTATTTGGTCGCAATCATGCATCAAGAACGGAAATTATGTCCTCAATCCCCCCAAGGTCGGTCTGTGACGTGCTGATCTCGCGCTGGTTCAGGTAAGCCAATGGGGTCGGATGATTCTTTTCTCCTTTGAGCACCTCAGCAATGATTGGCTGTTAAGTTGTATTTTGAGTCTTTATCCTCGAAATGTAATCCTTGCCCCAAATTACACAAGGCAATGCTAATTCCGATGTCTCGACATTTAGAACCATGGACATGGCTCCCTGTAAGCTCACTGTGCACCTAGCCGGTCTTTTAGACGTACTAAAAGCAGCATAGTGGTCGTACATATGCCTACGTTTATGAAAGAGGTACGTAGATTGAATACCTGAAGGACGAGAAGAAATTGGCCAACGGTTTTAATTGTAGTATAACCAAATGTTCAAAGAGCCCAACGAAACGCCGCTAATGTGGATTGGACTCCTATTTTCCATTCTTGGCCTGGCTTCCTACTTCTACGCCATAGCAGAGGAAGAATTGCATAGTATGCCTCAGCCATTTACTTCCATGTGGGAAATGAGTACCCATTATCGCGACAGGACTGCCCAATGCCTTGTAGAGGTGAACTATCTCCGGCCGAGACGATATACCGTAGATGCTTTGTGTTTCTACTACGCTCTTGATCTGTTCCATAATAGAGATTCGGATTTTGGAGCTTATGTCGTCCTTGGAATTATCGTTAGGGTAGCTATGCGACTCGGATATCATCGTGATGCAAGCCATGTAAGTTGTTGATTATTTTCCTTCTTTGCTACTATGGCATATTGCACCCTACGGGCATGTCTCTAGGTCAGAAATGTCAAGGCTCTTAGACCATTGCCTTATATCACACAAGCATACCAGAAGAAGTAACGCTAACCCCCGTCCTTGGCTAGTATCCATCCATATCGCCATTCGACGGGGAAATGAGACGGAGAATATGGTCCATGGTATTCCAACTGGATATCCTGACCTCAGCATACATCGGCCTTCCCCGAATGATCCGCGAGGGCGAAACCGACACCGTAGAGCCTAAAAATCTCCTCGACACCGATTTCGACGAAAGCATGATCACGCTCCCGCACCCACGGCCCAGCACCGAAGCGACCCCCGTCGCATATTCCATATTCAAAGTCCGCCTACTCCGCCAATCTGGCTTAATAACTGACCAAATAAATGCCATCACGCCTATTTCCTACGACTCGGTACTGCGCCTCGATTCCCGACTCCTCGAAATACACGCTGCGCTCCCTCCATACCTGACCATGAAATCTCTCAGCCAGTCCATCACCGACGATGCGCTTGTGATTCTGCGGAGGTACACGCTCGAGGTAACTTTCCAGAAGAGCCGGTGCGTGTTACATCGCAAATACCTCGTCCCGGGCAAATCCGACCCTCGATTCCGGTATTCGAGAACTGCCTCTGTCGATGCTGCGATGCGCCTGCTGGATGTGCAGCGTACGTTTGACGAGGGTAGTCAACCTGGCGGCCAGTTGTGTGGTGAGAGGTGGAGGAGGGCTGCGCTTATTAACCAGGATTACGTAGTTGCGGCCATGGTATTGTGTCTAGATCTTGCCTGGGGCAGGAGGATGGACAGCCGTCGGATTTCAGAACATGAAGATGAGACTGAAACGATATGGCCGAGGAGTAAAATGCTGCAGGCGTTAAGAGTAAGCTACGAGATCTGGTGTAAGGCGAGAACGGTATCAGCGCTCGCCGTAAAAGCCACCGAGGCTTTGAAAGTCATGTTGAAAGATCTCGAATCCACCGATTCAGTAGCTATCGAATCTAAACCGTCACCATCGGTTTCTAATCCAGCAACTGTGCATAATAATCATCAACATGGTCTGTCTCCTCCCCTATCCTCACTCACGAAGTTAATTAACCCCTCTCCCCAAGATGCACCATCATCCAACTCCGCTCCTCTCCCTCCATCCACCCCATACACAGGAATGAATTCCTTCTCTTTCGCAGGAGTGACAGACGAAGACATAAATTTCGACTGGGTAAGCATGCATAAAAACACCCAGCAACTTGTTCTAGACAAACATGTGTTAATTACTCTGCAGGAACTGTGGGATACCCAGTTTCAAACCACGCCCATGGCAATGGCGGGGGATGATTTCGGGACTTCGACTTTTCACTAGCATTTCCTTCCCTACGCAACGTACGTATTTAGAACGGGAATCGGCTTCCGAGCGACTGGTAGAGGGGAAGTGCTGGTATTTCTACGGAAGTAATGTGGTTTTCGAGGGCCTTCATCACTTATCAGGATTAGGCACTTGCCGAGAAAAATATAGTCCTCAAATACATGCTGGGTGTCGAACGAAGAAAGAGATTGCTTTGTAAGCCAAGGCATAGAATTCCGGCGTCTTGTGTCTGATAACATTTTGTTTCTATTATTGTTCTATTCTATGCTATACTCAAGTTGATATTGATATTCTTTCGCTCATTAACAAGGACCCACCACCTACTTGCGCTCCTATACTGGTTTCTCCTTGAACTCCCGTTGCGCCTCCAACGCCTTAGCCAGCAGCTCCGGATACCAACGAGCGCCAACGTCCTGATGGCTCGTAATCCTCGAGATAAACACAGCCTCCCTCACACTCTCCGAATCCCCAAACATCTTATCGAACGTCGCCTCAGCCTCACTGCGCACCTTCTCGTCCTTCACCAAGTCCTTGATATGCTGCGGGATCTTCAAAGAAGCATCTGCGCCGTCCAAATCAGTGCGAATGCCCTGGAATACCGGAAAGGAATATCGTGGTCCGAGGGATGTGCCGTCGGCAGCAAGGAAGTTCTTGGCCGATAGGTTGACGCGGTGGGTTGTCGCAGTGCAAACTCCACCCGTGAGAGCCTGCAGCGAGCGTCCTATGTTTACGACTAGGCTACCGGGAATGGGAGCTGCTTGTATCCAGTCGCCGTGTTTGTTCTGTATTTCCAGCCCCGCGTGGGATGTTGCTTGGAGGAGAAAAGTGAGGAAAGATCCATCTTTGTGAGCACCCACACCCTGAATACCGGTTTCTGGAATAGGAGTGTCGAGAGGTGGTACAGGATACTTGACAAGCTTGAGTTTATTGTGCTGGGGGTTTTCGAAGAACCGTTCAAAGGAGTTGGCGGGCATGTCGAGTGCTTCGGCGATAAGGCGGCTGAAAAAGATGGCGAAGGTAGCGATTTCTTCTAGGTAGCTTTCTACTGCGGTCCTGAACCCTTTGATTACGGATTCATCGGGCCACTATTCCTTCGTTAGTCTTGAGGTTGGCCAAGACTTAGTGCGGCAAATACCTGATTTGGACCTCTCAAATTCCTGTGCGGTGGCTCTTCAGGTCCCGGTGCTGAAACTTCTGTTGCAAACTCCAAGTTTATATAATTAGCATTTGATTTGTTACGAAAAGAATGTACTCACATCATATTGCTCTCGATAATCAGATTTCATTGCTGTAATCTCAGCGCCCAGTCTGGCATAGCCCAAGAAATGCTTGCTATTCGCCATCTCGATTTTCAGTTTCTCCTCCAGGGGCAGTTCCAAAGCCTCGATCCCCTTGGTGATTAGATTTTGCTGAGTTAGGGGCGAGATTGATGTGTTTTTGATGTACAAGAACCCCACGTCAACAATCGCTGTTCTGAGAGCTTTCAAGAACTCTGGTTTTGTGGCAGGGTCGCTTGTCGACGCAAAGTCTAGCAGGGGAATGTCGTTGAATGCAAGAAGATTCTCCTTTTGTGAGGAGGGAACTTTCTAGGGCGTGTCAGCTTACGAAAGACCCAGATTGTGAGTAGACGGATTTCGATGGTCTTCGCAGTCTTGGAAACACCAGAGACTTCGTGGAGCTGGGAATATGCAATGAGTGGAAATGGCTCACGAAGAGATTAAAAACGACGGTAAAAACGAATTGATTCATCTTCGACGACTAAGAATCGGATCTCACCAATGAATTGATGAAGCTTTCTCGGGCCTCTTGCAAAGCGGGTGCATTCTTGCTGAGCTCGAAATTATGACCTCCACCGGGCAGGATTCTCGCGTCCATCTGGGGAGCATTGGTGAACAAACCGGCGACCCAGTCAAAAGTAGGCTGACCTTCTTTGATACCTTTCCATCCCAATTCATACTCTGCAGCTAGAAACTGTAGAGGGACCTGTAGGATGTTAAAGACACATTGTTGATAGATAAATGCCAAATCTTACCCGAATCCGTGGTGCAATCTCGTTCACAAACCGATTGTACCAGGTTGGATCATACCACTCAGCCATCTCCGACTTCACACCTGCAACTATAAGCGTTCTTTCATATACCAACAGTCTCTAGTTGCTTACCAGGCTCGAATATTGTCAACATCGCGGGGTGTGTAAGAATCGACATGTCAAGATAGTCTAGAGGGCCCATAAACGTCTCTATAGAGTCAGGCGAGGGCTCAAACACAAGTCGAGGATTTCCCGGGTCTGCTTCTATAGCCTTTATAACCACAGCGGGGTGATCTTTGGTAGGGATGATTCCAAGTGCACTGACTCCGATAATCGGGAGTTTCTGGCCTTCGAATGCTGCAAGTGACAGCGAGATTGCTGCTCCAAGAGAGTGGCCGACGAGGATTATTCCATTTTGACCGCTAGTGTGATCATCATATGTTTTCCCAATGAGCGCGGAATAGAGAGGAATGGAATCAATGAGCGGCTGTTTGGATTCTGGCATCGGATTTCCACCATACCCCGGTCTGTTGATATTTAAGACACCAAACCCAGCTTCATTGAAGATCTTCGGTATTCTGGAGCTCGCATCAGTGGGATATCCAGATTAATTATTCCTAAGCGTTTACTGACGAGTATATTTCATTGTCGAAGTACGTGGCATTGGTTCCGCCGCCGTGAATGAGGACAAGCAAGGGTTTGTGATCTCGGACATCTGCCTTTCCCTTGTTGAAGATTCCATGAGCACGCAGACCTGATATTTCAGCCTCAATGATGGTATTCCCAGGTTTCGCCATGGTTGAAGGTGACTCGGGCCAAGAAGGAAGGTGGTTGCATTTCGCAAGTGTAGACGGGCAGGGCAGGACTCGAGATGTGGAGCCTCCACGACCAGGTGGCTCCGGCCACACGTCTTCTGATATAGCGACACCTCCAATCAACACCACACTGCGGGCGAACGCGTGTCATGCATCAACAGCGTGGATTACGCCTTATTTATTGATTATTATTTATTCCATTAACGTCCTGTGCGAGTCTAGGACTATGTAGCGGATTACGCCTTCGGATTGCGTCTTAGTGACCTTATCTCTACACAGATTTCTTATGATGTTTATATAGATCTACTGCCAGTACGAGTAGTTTGCAACAACTATTTCGTCCTTCATGTCCAAGTCAAGCCCCGTCTCGTGTCGCCATCAAATAAGTTCCCTTCATTAGACAGTCTCCTATTCCATTCTATCATTTCTTTACTGGAAAATGCACAATAGATTCAGGAGATACTGGAGATTCATTACCCCCACTTTCGTCGATCTCGACCCTTCTCCTCCCCAGCGTTCCACTCTTTATACCCCGCCTCTCCAGATACGCAATCGCGAGCACCAAAGGCAAAATCAGCGACCCCGTAATAATACTCGCAACATATCCTTTCCTGTAATTTGGCGCATCTGTAACTGGGTAGAAGATCAGCGGCCACCAAGTGACAAACGCGAAGTCGAAGGAGTTCATGAAGCCCGTAGTGATGGCACGCAGTTGGAAGTCGTGCGCTGTGACATCGGCCATCCAGGAATACCACAGGGCTTGCGGCGCGTATGTTGTGCCGAGGAGATAGAAGGCGAAGAATTGGCCACCGACGCCGTTGGGGTCGGCGATGAGGATGGCGCTGCCGATGATAAATGTGATGCCAATGGCGAGAGAACACTGCCAGCGCGATTGGATCTTGTCTGAGATGACCGAGTAGATGATCGTCCCCACAATGGCTGCTGCGTAGACTCCAGTCGGGTATGTATTTTGCTGAATTTGTGTGTAGCCCCGGGATGCCATCCATAAGGGGAAGACGTTGTTCTGCTCCATTTGAATCGCGAGTGAGTAGACTTGAATGTTGTTAGTATCCTCTGACCCTCAGAGGAGTGAGTTTGAAACTCACGCATGAAAATAGTAGGAAGTAGCCAAAATTGCCAGCTGAGCAAGACACGTCTGAAGACAGTTCTATCCCAGGTGAGCTTTTGGGGTTGTCCTAGTCTATTCACTGCATGATCCTTCTCCTCTGTAGTGAGATACCATGCATTCCTGTGAGATGGAAGACCGGGGATAAATATCCAGCCTAAAATCCGCGAATTAGCAATCATCAACTCCATACTGCATCATAGAAGGACTGACCAAAAAGCGCCGTGGGTATGGTAATCACGGACACAATGATGAATATCCAACGCCAAGCAGGTAGACCGTTCTTCCCCGCCAGGGATTTTAGCAAACCAGCTTGAATCCAAGGCCCCGCCATACTCCCCAGATGGCCGAAGCAGACGAAGACCGCAGCTCTAGTACCCAGCTCGGACTTTTTATACCATGACCCATATATGAAATGAGCTCCAACACTAAACAAACATTATTAGAGGCATCATTTCGACAGTCAGACTTAATACATACTATGCAATTGCCGAGAACCCACCCTCAAAACCATTTAGCAGAATAATCTGCCACACATGATTCATCTTGAAAGTAATCAGCGTTAAAATGCTCCACATCACATTCGCCCCCACGAAGACATATTTCGGCGGTGCGATTGTCAGCAGTGAAGTTCCGGGCATCTGGCAAACGGCATAGACGACGAGATATGTGGTGCTTATATAATTAAACTCCTTTCCTTTGAAATGCAAGTCTTCTTTCATCCCGCTGATATAAGCGGATGAATAACTCGATCGGCTAAGCCCGAAGAGAAACCATATCAGAGAGAAGTAAGGGAGAATCGTGAAGTCGAGTTTGATGAGGAGGGACGCGTCTTTGGGGTCGTTGCCCCAGAGAAATGATCTAAGTCTGAGGAGATAGGACGGGGCCATCACTGCGGGTTTGGCCTCGGTGGAACGAGAACTGGATCGAAATCGATTTCTAGCTGTGGGAAGGGGAGGGGATATATAGTTCTTATCTTGAGGTGATAGGGAAGTCGCATGTGACTCCTCAAGCTTGCAGATGTGATCGACAGCAACCATTGCAAAACCAAGCTAGCGATTTCACCATCGCCAACGAAGTATGGGATGAGATCTAGACTGCGTAAACTCTTGTAAAGAAGCTGATTCCCTACTAATAACGAGATGTGTTCTGTGCCTTTTGAGAGATTTATTGTAATCAACAGGTCTACTATGTAGGTAACACCCATAAAGCAATTCTCTAGCAAGTTCGTGACTGAAAGTCGATCGATCTATGGGCCGTCCTATAGCATGCTCTTGTTTGTCGGTTGCTGGCTGAATGGCGCGATGCTAGCAACTGCAGCTCGGTAACCCGCACCCCACTTCCGAACCCTACAAGGCACACAATTTCAACCCTTCTTTATATCCAAGGGTCAAAAGAGGCATTTTGCTAGATTACATGATTCCAATTGAATTGCTATAAAGGGCAACTAACTAGATAACCTTTAAACATCTACGAGTTTTCCACTGCCTGCAGCAGTTTGTGCCTATTCTAGTCATGACGGAGCCAAACCTACCCAAGGACCCCGAGCCTGAGCAGCGCTCCTTCCAATTCGAGACTTCAGGGGTACATGCCGGGTAAGCCCACCATCTAGATTCCATAGTATATAATTCTACTAAATACAAGTTCCAGACTCAATCGATCTGAGAACGGCGTGCAAGATGCACCTATCTATGCATCTACAGTAATCAACTACACACTTACACTCCCGATAAACAGAAATGTGGCATATCTCTAACGTATTTCCAGTCTTTCGTTTTCGACAACAGTGCTCATGGAGCAGCAATATTCGGCATGACAGCTGATGCATTTTGCTACAGCCGTATTGCCAATGTACACTCCCTCCCTTCCACCGCTTTCTGAATCAAATGCTAATCACCTCAGCCAACCGTCGATGTTTTTGAGACACGCATGGCGGCACTAGAAAACGGAGCAGCAGCGTTGGCGGCAGCGTAGGTCATCCATATATCTGTGCACCATCCCGGCGTCGTTTAACTAAGTTGTCTCAGATCCGGCCAAGCAGCTCTCTTCATGACCATCACAGCGCTGGCACAAGCCGGGGACAACATCGTCATTGCATCACACGCCTGCGATGTGTCGAAAACCATCTTTAAAAATCGACTGCCACCGTTTGGTATAACGGTGCGATTTGTTGAAAGTGGTGACGTTGACTGTATCAGACAGGCTATTGATGGGAATACTAAAGGGGTCTTTGTGGAGAGTATATCGAGTACGGATCTGCTAGTTTCAGATATCTCAACCCTTGCCGTTGTGGCTCACAATGCAGGCGTACCGCTCATAGTGTACCTACTACAGCCTCTTGCTTGCATGTTAATCAGAACTGACAAACACGTAGTGATAACACAGCCGGCGCGGGAGGGTTCCTCCTCCGGCCCCTCGATCACGGCGCAGACATTATCGTAGAATCCGCAGCCGAATGGCTCGGTATCTCTGGCTCGAACGCAGCAGGGGTAATCATCGACAGCGGAAAATTCGACTGGGTCAAAAACCAAGCTCGGTTCCCTCAATTCTTCGAGCAGGCTCCGGGATTTCATGGCCTTAGACTGTGGGAGAAGTTTGGGAATTTGGTGTTTATATCCTTTGCTCGCATCGCGGTGCTGCGAGATATGGGTCCGTGTTTGAATCCCTTCGAGGCTTTTCAATTACTAGCGGGTCTAGAAACACTGTCTGTACGCCTTGAGAGAATTTCAAGCAATGCCGCGAAACTGGCAACTTGGTTGGAATCAGATAACAGAGTAGAAGAAGTTCGGTATCCGGGTTTGTGTTCTGGTCTTCTCCCAAAGTGACGATTTTTGCTTGCTAACTCATGAAGGCCTCCAAACCAATCCCTCTTATAATTTGAGCAAAAAGTATTGTCCACGCGGCTATGGCGGACTACTTTCCATCAAATTAAAGAGCGCGAAGGACCTCGTTTGGACAAAGTCTAAAGTTGTTTCTTTCGGTGCAAGGTAAGTGGCGAACACTTCACACTTCAAGCGTCGTAGTATGGGACGAGAATCAAGCTAAGTAGGAAATTTTAGTATCGGGGGAAGCAAGTAAGTCGACTCAAGACTATATTATGAATTAGAGCACGTACTAATCCACGATTTCTTGTTACTAAGAACGATTATTGTCAAAAGGGAGCAACCCCATGAAGATCAGAGGCAAGCAGGATCGATATATGTTTCCATAGGACTCGAGAACATTGTACTTCCTCTAATCCATCCAACTGGAACTATCGTGAGTGCTAATAATGATATAGGATGATATCATCTCAGATTTTAAGGAGGTGTTAGAGAGCGTATAATAGGAATACATCAATCTATTTAGTGTTTAGGGCGTTAAAGTGACAGGTAGAATACAGGCGAGGAGTGGAAAGAAATGATAGATATATGGAGCACGGCTCTATTACTAGTTAAGCAGTTCACGATCAAAGTGTCTCTACCATTGGAATGATTATAAAGGAGCAATAATCTATCGATATTGTACCTCCGGTGAGGTGTGTTTAGAGAACCCTGTACCGCTAAGTGGGTCTGGTCTGGTGAGGCTTACGGAGTAGGGCGCTCGCCAAGTTCAGTTCGGTTCGGGCCGGCACAAGTACAAGCAGTGCAGTCTAAGTCCAAGGCCAAGACCTCCCCAGCAACAACTGTCGAACCTTTCAACCCTACCGCCCGCACCGTCGAACTTCTCTTTGAAGGCCTGGTGGCCTGTTAAGTATACAATGCCTTCGTAGCTGTTGGTCTGTCGCTCCTTGCACTCTTCCAACGCCATTCCAGTCTCTACAAATAAATCGATGAGGCTGTGAGGCTGAATGCGATACGATGTGCACTCTTTTCAATCACACTTCTGTCACTGAATTGTGAGATACTAATACCGTCGATTTGGTCGAGTCAGCAATCAGCAAAATGTCCCAGTGTAATCTCTGCAACAATTTGAGGAAGAAGAGCGAGGACGATGTTCGGTTGGCCTTTGACTTCGTCCCGAGTGAGCTTAACAGGTCAGCAGAAGCAAAATGCCCGGCTTGCAATGTGATTTTGGCTGGGATTTTACAATCCGAGGACGGATGGACACTTGCTGGGGATATCACTCATATATATGTATTCGCACTAGCCAAGAACGAAGACAGTCTATCTTTGGAATTGTATTTCAGAGACGATCGGCCGAAAGTTGTCCTTGAGTTTTATCGCCGCGAAAGAAATGAATTGTTAAGTGAGTGTTTCCATGTATCGGCCCAAGTTTTTTCGGGCGATTGATTCCTGTACGCTGTTCCGATGAGATGACTAAATATATGCGCAGGCTCTGGAAATGTCAATTGGACGGCAATCAAGCCCAAGTCTCCCCTTTCTGGCCATCCTCTGTCACCAACAGGCATGAAATGGTTGGGCACTAGGCTTGATGTCTGCAAGAAAAAACATCTTTCATGTCAATATCACGCAAAACCAAATCTCCCAAAGCGAACGCTGTCCTTCCGTGTCTCTGAAAACGGGAAAGCGGACGTGAAAGTGGTCGAGAACATCTCACAGCCAGGACGCTATATTGCATTGAGTCACTGTTGGGGGTCATCACCACTCTGCGCCCTAGACGGCAAAACAATTTCACAATTCGGGATATCAATACCCTGGAGTCGGCTTCCAAAAACCTTCCAGGACGCAATTCTTTTCAGCGCAAAGCTTGGTGTCAATCATATTTGGATTGATGCCCTCTGTATAGTGCAAGACAACCCTGACGACTGGGAGAGAGAGTCAGCCAAGATGGCCGACATATATCAGAACTCGTTCTTGACTCTCGCTGCCACCGCTTCGAGTAATGGGATGGGTGGCTGTTTTTCCGACGCGAAGACTGATGCTCCATCCGAGCACGAACTTACCGGGTTACAATCTCACATTGGTTTAGATCGCATCGTTGTTCGGACCAAGCTTCAACATTGGACATGGCCACCATCTAAAGTTTCCATGAAGCTCCATCCCTTGCTACAAAGAGGATGGGCATTTCAGGAACGGATACTTTCGCCCCGAGTCCTGCACTTCTGCAAGGACGAGCTAGTTTGGGAGTGCAGAGAGGAAAGCGTTTGTGAATGTGGAAGTCTTCCTGCGCTCTCAGAAACGAAAAAGCAATCGTATCTACCTCGAAATGAAACCGCCCTTCGACGGGCTTTCGGGCGGAAAACTTGGAGACGTGCTTTTGGCAAGATCAAAATCACGATGTTTCGTCGCAACAAAATTTCGCCAAAACAACGGGGGCTATCGCGGATAGCCGCTCTTCTTCCCCGAAAGCACCACTCCCACAACCGTATCGTATATCAAGAAGAAGCGTCCAATGTCACTAATCCAGAGAAGCTAGATGCCGCTGAAAACTGGCACAGAGTCATTGAACAATACTCATCCTTGAGTCTCACAAAGCAGACTGATCGCTTGCCCGCATTGTCCGGTCTCGCCATCCGCTCGTCTCCAGTCCTTGGGGAATATCTTGCCGGTCTTTGGAAACACAGTTTTATATCCGACCTGCTGTGGCGTATCAACAAGTTAGAACATGATATAGTTCGACCTACTGAGTATATTGCTCCTTCGTGGTCTTGGGCCTCAGTCGCTGGGCCTGTCAGCTTTTGGCCCGAGCCCGACACTCGACTCATCGAGGGGACTTCGGGCGAGCGGTTTTGGTACCAGGCACGATCTGCGCTTATAAGAAGAGCAAACGCCTCCAGATTCACCGCTAATGTCAAAGCGAGCCGCTTGAATCCATACGGCAAGGTTTCTTCGGCAACTCTCTATGTGCACGGATATATTCAGCCCGCGAGACTCCAATATGTGTCTACCCGAGTTGGGGGCACATGGGGCAACACCACATCTCTAGTAGAGTCGGTACCACTCAAGTACGAATTAGACTTCATCTTCCCCGAAGAGGGTTACGGCCCTTCAATCGAGCTGCCATTCTTCGCCGACTACGTCCTGCAAGCGAAGGGTCCGCTTCGTATTCCTCACAACGATCAACTGCATTTGCTGTTAATACACCCTTACATCTGCTTGGTTCTAAAATCTCTGGATGAAAACCTGAAGATCTTTCGTAGGATTGGGATTATACGCCAACCAGTGGCATTGGTGTCTGAGTATGGGTTCGACTGGATGAAAAGCTCCGTTGAGAGTGATATTCAGATTTTGTAGGCTCAACTTATTCTCTAGTCTGATCTGAAATCTTGAGTTGGTAGACCCCAGCTTCTCCGCTGGAAAGCATTCAAGTACCAACCAGTACGCTATATACATGGAGAGACTAGGGCAAGGGTTCGATTATATTTTAGCCTCCTAGCCAGACACTTCATCCCAAGTCTGCCGAACACCACCACCATTCACTTTTTACCAAACAACTCCGTTTACGTGCCCAAGGATCTACTTATCTGGTTCCACTTGGAATAGCATATTATATAAATATCTGTTTGGTATGTTGTTATGACTTTGCATTCGTTGCATAATTATCCTTGCAGCTAAGGTAAGCCCCAGTCGACAGAAGTATACAAGCACCTCCAACAAACGCGGCTAAAGCGCGTACGTGAGGCGGAAGACTAGTAGCAGTATGCTGTGTTGATGGATGGGGGAAAGGAACTTCATGTAAGTATACTGTACCTAGCACCCAAACCCGATCTCCGATACTAAGTTCGTTGCGACAGACAACAGCCAGGTTTACGAAAAAATGACGGCATGCGAGGCACATTTTTTACATGACAATATACCATTCATTCACCTACGAGCCGACGATTAATCACTATTTTGCCACCCACCCATGATTTCCTATATATATTAACAATTCTTGTCTACGGAAAATTTATACCCACGTTCGCAGTAGTTAATGCCTACACACTTGTAGATATCACTATAGTAGAAGCTTTTACTTGAGTGCTTTCGTCTCGCAGTTCATGATCAGTCAACGTACTTTATCAATTGGTCGCTACAAATATATGTGCGGTCTAACTGATTTTTCTTTTTCTTCTTCTTCTTCTGAATCCAAAACTAGCTAATAATACATATATATCGGTGTGAAATTGAAGTACCGAGTGAAGTTTAAAAATCTAACCGTGAATCAGATGCTTCTTTTATCACATCATTTGAGCTTCCAGATACGACGGGATGGGATGGGATGGGATGGGATGGTATTAGAACCCGAAATCGTCTCCAAAGCCACCGTCGTCACCGCCATCTCCGCCGAATCCACCGTCGCCATCATCGCCGCTGTCTCCTAGGTCCCCTCCGTCTCCTGGGTCACTACTTCCTGGATCAGTGTCTCCTGGATCAGTAGTTCCAGGGTCAGTGGTTCCAGGGTCAGTGTCTCCTGGATCAGTAGTTCCAGGGTCAGTAGTTCCAGGGTCAGTGGT